TGATTATAACAATTCAATTTATATTTACCCTCAATTTTAAGGTGAAAACTGCAGATAAAGATAGCCCAATACTGAAAATATACTGAAAAAGGAAAAAGAAAGAATAAAAAAGTAAAGGAAAACTGTATTTAACACACTACACAGAGTCTCAGAAGGAGGAGAAAAGAAGGCCTGCTTGTCTTAATTATGTGCACGTACTACAACTTTACCTGTATCGGTCATCGGCAAACCCATATTCTACCCGGGCTTCTCCTTTGGGTTGAGAGGAAAGCAGAGCATCTACCTTCATCACAAGGTCACTGGCCCTGAGGGAAACACTGAGTCAACTCAAAAAACTCAACACAAGTCTGAAAACATTACTCTGGGAGGTTCCTGAAGGAGCCTGAGATGATTTAACTTTGTGAAAAGAAAAGAAAATACCTGTCCTCCTCTATTCCTAACTGTTGGACTTTGCTTTTGATTCGCTCTCCAGATGTCTTTATGATGATGCTCTCCAAAAGCAGGAAGTCATCCTGGTTAAACACCTCCTCCTCCTCCAGTGGACCTATGATCTGCAAACAAGAGGCAAAAAGTATTGACTGAACTGTTATGGTAACTGTTGGAAAATGTAGACATTTATTCATAAACACAAACTACACTTGTTCATGTACCTGTGTTCTAGCACAGGTTTAAAGTTCTTTTACCAATAAGAAACCAGCCTGTGACTCACTCTTCCGTTGCTGATAACCGCTCTCTGTCCTTTCTTCAGTTTGAGCACATCTCGGCAGTAAGAGGCGTGGGAGAGCAGGAAGTCAAATTTGGGATCTTCATACGCACTCTTGAACAATGACACATCCATACCCTGAAGGGAAAAACAGATCACTTGTAGGCAGCAGATAAAAGGGAAAATAAGGAGGAGTGATTTAATCCAGTTACAAGGCCAGACAATAACAGAAGAAGAAAACAGGATCAGTTTAAGTGTTATACTGTATATTACACAACACTTATAAATATCTTTCTGATGCTATTGAGAAGAACAAAGTTCTCCTCTCACCCCAACAGCAAACTCTTTAATGTCAACTCCCTTCTCCAGGGAGGCGGCGACTTCTTCTTTAGCCAACTTTGTTATGAAGTTCTTTGCATTGTTTGCGGATTGTGTCTGCATGGCAGCCCAGATCGCTCTGGCCACATGGCTCGTCTCAGCAGACGGACTAGCTGACGGGTTGTTGATCATCCCCAGTCGGACGTTGTTGCTGGTTTTCTGTTTTTGAACAGGTGAGAGTTAGAGGAGAACCTAATATTGAACATACAGACAAAAAGTGTACGTCTTCTAATTTGGAATGAAAACAATCTATCACATTATTAATATGTGATGTAAAGGTGTCTTTTAATCCAGTAAGGATTGGGCCACAAAATGGGATGACACTTCAATTAAGTTCAAGTCAATCATATCATTAAAACACAATGCCAGCAACATTTCACTCAATGACAACACTGACTTACAGTCCAGCCCAAGAAACTGTATAGTAAAAGCTTTTGTACCATGTGTTTGATGGCGTCGTAAAGGAGCTGGCGTCCTGAGGGCTTGTCAAAGTCTCCGACTACCCAGAAGGTCACAGGACGGATGTAGCTATCATCTGATAACCACCGGAGGAGGAAGACAGACCACAGGATGAGTCACTGCTACACAGGTGAACTTATGTAGCAAAGGAGATGAGTCATACTGTCTTAAGTGAAGACATGTTTGGCAAATCAGACAAGACTCTACACAAATATCGCATTGGACTTGTTATTCTCTGCCGTAAATCTTGCTTCTTTATCAAAACCTTCAAACTTTCCAAACATCAAATACAATTCCAGCATCTCATTCTCCATGCAGCTACAACAAAGAACTCTCATGCTCTCCTTCAGAAAGATGGAATAAACAATGTTAGAATTCAGCAGTTATGTAAACACATTTTTAAGCACTATTACTCCAGACCCTAGTACACAATCATCACATGCGTAAGTTAGTCATTTGTGTCCTCTGAGAAATGCAACACAGATGGAGGGAACGGTGGTGGATTTACAAACACAGCGAAACTCTGCCAGCAATGTTGTTCACAGAAAACAAAAACGAGCAAGTGAGGAGGAGAGGGAATAGTGCGTAGGAAAGGGTGATTACCATGCCTGTTGGTGCTGGTCATCCCTGAGGCAGAAACGTTTTTAAAAACACACGAATAAGACGAGGAAGAGGACAAAAGGAGAATACATAAAGAGGGAGATTTTGGCTTGAAGGTGACTCAGTTATCTCCACTAGAAAAAGGAAAATACTCCACAAACATTTCCTTCCTTCCAATGTTTGTTTTTATACTGTATGATGAGCTTTTTTATGAGGCTGTCCTGCACTTTTACCTTTCTTAGTCATGTAGTTCATGCTGTTGGCCACAGCGATGCTCTTCTCTGTGCTGTCCAGAGTCGAGAAGCGAGCATAATCATCTACAAAGTAATTATCTGCAAAAAAGATCAGGAATGAACTTGAGATTGTGTATCAAATGCAAAATATTATATTTTGTTTTACCATACTGCCAAGATGCAAATGTTTTGAATATGTTCTAGGGACGGAATGATGTGTTTAAGACACAAAAATATCTGTTTGGGTTTAAAACATATGTGGGCAGGACCTTCAGCGCAAATTAATCATCTAGTTGGAGTCAGTTTCTGTCTTCAGTTGTTTTCTACTGTCATTTATGTAGATTCCTTATATGTTTATGTTTAGCTGCCAAGGAAATGTGCAAAATTTAACATCTGCATTCATAAGCTGTGTAACTGTTAACGGTCTGGCTAAAATAAATACAACAAGAGGTTTTAGAAGTGGGAACTGCACTGAAACACATTATATACCTTTGCTGTAAAAATATTGGTTGCATATATAAAAAGATGAGATTAAAGTAAAGCTGTTTTGAAGTGTCTATGGTTAAAAATGAGAAAACTATTGACAAAAATCAGATTTTGAGATGGTCCCTAACAGTACGTTTACATCCGTCATCCATCTCATGTTTCAGAAACAGATGAACTGCTGTTTCATTCAATCCAGCTGTCTGCACCAGCTGCTCTGTAGTCAACTCTATTTTCCTGCATTTTACATGCATGAACATATTTCTGGTCTACTGTCAGGTCTTCAGAGTGCCAGGCTTCAATCTCAGATCATCAAGTAAAAACTGCACTGCTACAAAATCAGTTAAACTTTGTCCTGCACAACTATTCTAGAAAGACATACGTGAGATTCTGTTGAAATGTCTGAATACTGAAGTTAACACAAACATTACAGTAACATTTCAAATTCTGTTCATATTTAGATATTGCATTAATATTTGTTTACGTCCTTAATGTGTACTCACTGGTAGCAGACAGGTCCAGGTATGTTCTGCTGGTGGACAACACTCTGGGATTGATGCGAGGAACAACGTTGGGCTGGTTCATGATGAAGTCCACGACATCGTGATCTGTTGCCAGCTCACCCTGAGAACCACATAAACACATTCTGAGAGGGTTTCTTCAATGATGCTGAAGACCGTGACAGTGATGCAGAGGCTGCTCTTCACCCCCACAGTCACTGTGAAGACTGCGCCCTTGAGTGTTAATAGCTTTTTCAGTGCAGCAACTGATGCTTGCGTCTTGAATGATAAGTTTTCCTCAAGCAAGCTTGGTTTAATCGTTAAAAAGGAGAAAACAAGGAGTGATGACCAACACTAGAACTGGTGTAGCACTCAAATTAAATACTGCTAACTGTGCTCAAATGTCTTAGAAAATTTAAGATTTGGCTTGTTGAAGTTCTGAGGCGACTTTCAAACAGGAGAGAATGACAGATGGCATGCTCACAAAGAGCCTCCTTGAAGGAGAATTTCTTTTATCACTACAATCTAAGGCAGTGTATGTGTAAAAACTAATAACTCTTTTCAGTAACTCTTACTGGCTCACTGGGGGTGTGTATGTGTGCTCTAACTGACCAGGTAGACAGCTCTCTGGTAGAAAGAGGTGGTCTCCAGGATCTTTTGCATGGTGACTGTCTCGAGTTCGTCCGAGTCCATTTGTTCACGCTGGTAAGGTATGCCATTGTACATGACCACAGGCAATGGGCCCACTCCTGTCTGCTCATAGTAAGCCCGCCCTTCCTGTACAAAGAGACATCATTGCATCTTTTTATTCTCTCAACAATACAGCTGAGCACCCGCATCTTAGCAGGTAAACCTGGAAAAACTAATCCATGCTTTTATGTCAAGAAGGTTTGACTATTTTAAATGTTTTCTGTTAGATTAACCTATCAACTGCAAAAAGAGCTCCCAGAAGTGAAGCCACCGCGATGCAATCGCCCTCTGGTGGCTGATTGCAGTATAGGTGATTAATCCCGACATGAGCCACCCTAAAAACTCTGTGGCCACATTCAGCCTGTCTCACCTTCCTGTTGCTGTCGTAGCTGGAGTCGGCTCCCAGGACGCTGCTGACCTCCACATAGGGAAACTTCTTCTCCAGCACTTTGACTACATCCCCAACACTCAGCTTTCCACCGACAGGCACACGGTTATACATCTAAAGAGAAAGAAGGAGATGGGAAGGGAAAGATTTGATTAGTCAGTGACATTGATATTGTTTTATTAAACAGTGAGGAAAGCCATACTGTCACAGCAAAACTCATAGGTTAAGTTCTTTGTCATAGTGTTTGTCAAGGTCAACTCACCGAGATGACGGCATCAAAAGCACTCTTGCTGTCCACCTCATCACTGATGTAATTGTAGGCTCGGACCAGTGCCACACCTGCATCCTGCATGCCATCTATATCATCTTCATTTGACACCACAAACACCAACCCAATCCTAAAACACACACACACACCAAATATGTTTCCTAAGCAAAGTCTCATATGTACAGTATATTGGACAGATAAATGCAGCATGTGTGCTGTTTGGTTCATCGGTATTCAAACAAACTGGCTGGAGTGTACGGTCCCATCAAGAAAAACGGGCACGGCACGATGAGATAAAATGCATTATGATAATGCATGTGAGCTGCACAGTTGTTTGACAAGTGTTGACAAGGTGTCTCTGACTATGGATGCATGTACAGCACTTACAACTGAACCTATGTGACAGTCACCTGTCATTATATAAGCAACTGGAAAATGCTGTTCTAAGCAATGCCAGGGCAGCATACTGCTGCTTTCCACCACTGCAGAACACTGGGGACTTACAGGTAAAGTAAACACATTAAGAATCCATTTTAAGACGTTTACAGTCCAACATATCTTTTATGACACAAGCACCAACCTGAGTGGGATGTTGTTAGCATAAAACATCTCTGCAACACTAAGCAGCTCAGCAGCATAATGCTGCGTTGGGTCCAGAATAATCACCTGCAACACACACGCAAAAAATAAACACTGATATATATATTTTTTTACAAGGATTCAGACCACAAGGAGATTATTAATCAGGTATGGATGTACCAGATTGTGGAAGTTCTTGCGGATCTGTCTGATGACTCCAGGGAAGGTTGGCCTGAGCAGCTCCTGCACGTTGTACGGCCATGAGATGTATCTGTGGTCTGTCTCCAAGTTGTTAATCCACTAATAAAGAAAACAAAGTTTAAAGTAAAACTGAAAGGAGGTACAATGAGCAGCCTGAACCCAACAGCAGACAAGTGCTAACAAAAAAAACTGTTTTGATTGCTGGTGGCTGAAAACTATACCAAAAACAGCTGTGACTGAATAGGGGTGTTTGCACTTCTTGTTTTCAGCGTCAGAGCTTAGTTTGGAGTGTGATTTTCTGTTGGAGAGGATTTTGGTTAGATGATTTCTTACACTGATGGCAGGGTTGCGGATATCGACGGCGAAGTCAGACTCAGATGGCTGGACGTTGAGCTTCAGGATGTCGTGGATAAATGGTGTCTCGATCAGCAGAGAGTGCAGCCCCTCCATCACCCTCGCCTCACTCCGCAGCACTTCAAACACACTGCAGGTAACAAGTGACAGAGACGAGTCAGAGTGTGGTTATCTACAGCAGGTGCATGTATGTATAGTGGGAAAAAGCACACTGCAGGTAACAAGTGACAGAGACAAGTCAGAGTGTGGTTATCTACAGCATGAAAGTGCCAACATGTTATGCAAAAAACATGTTGCCAGTCATATTTAAACATTAACACATTTTGAATACATTATTGAATCAACAGAAAATTCATAGGCAACTATTACAATAGTTTCTTTTCAAGCAAAAATATAAAAACTTCCCTGGATTCAGCTCATCAAATGTGAATGTGTTATTCATCATATTTGGCAAATATCAGTTTATCTTCTAATCATTAAAATGTTTAGTCTATAAAATATCAGAAAATAGAGAAAAATGTTCTTGTTCAGTCAGACCAACAATCCAAAACCCAAAGATACTCGCTCTATTATAGTGTTAAGCAGCAAATTCTCACAATTGAGAAATTGGAACCATCAATTATTTTGCTTTAATCGCATTTAATGAAGTATCAAAATTTTTGCTGATTAACCTTCTAACTAATTAAGTGGCTATTCGATAACATAAATATATGATTTTATAGGCTGTCAAAGGTTAATGAAACACTTGTATTTCTGTGCTTGGAACAGAAAAGCTCTCTCACAGCTTATCGACTAAATGTAAATATGCTGTCTATTAATATTCGACAATGACTATATGTGTGTCTACCTGAAGATGTCTTGTGTGTCGAGATCTATATGCAGCCCATTGATGAACAAAGCTGAATCCCCAGGCTGTAGTCCCAGGGTTCCTTTGAAAAACTACAAAGAGAGAAACATGACTAAATATCCCGTTCACATCAAACCCAAAACAGCCCAGCAGGTCACCATGTAACGTCAAAGCTGGCCATCTCCTAGTCAATTATATTGTAAAACTAGAGACAACAGTCAATACAAATCCATAACAAGGCACGTCAGCAGCTCCAAACAGGCACTGAAAGGTCTATTTAAAGTTGCTCTGTTTCAAGCAATCAAGCCCCACACTAAACAAATTATTAGAGAAAAGGTGTGTGAATATATGTGTGTGTGTGTGTGTGTGTGTGTGTGTGTGTGTGCATGGCTGTGATTAGTCGTTTATGTCTGCACAGGCAAAAGGGGAACTCAGTCATTCCGGTGCCGTCAAATCTCATTACAGAAAGACAAAGACATCAAATTAATCATACTCCAGACACTGCAATTACAACAAGGCATGATTAACGCAAATATTGTTCAGCCCACTTAAAAAATATGTGTGTGTCTCTGTGAGAGAGAGATGTCTGTGTGCAAGTGCCTGCGTCCAAAATGCTTCAATCAATAATCATTTCTCGCTGGAGGACTCGCTGTGCCCGCCGAATGAATCACCGATTCGGTAATTACGATGTTTGCTGCTCATCCCCGCCACCCACCCAAACTCTGGTCTGCACACCTAGATAATGTGAGCACAGCTTGGGAGGGGGTGTTGGTGGAGGCAGGAGGGAGGCAGTGGGAGTGGAGAAAAAAAAACAAACAACATTTGATTGAATAAAAAAAAAAAAGTGTGATTACGTGTTCCATTAGTAGGGCAAAGCCAAACACATGGTGAGAAAGGTGAGAAACTGAATGCTTTTCAAGTCAGATGTTGTTCACAATTGATCACATAAAAGAGAAGGAAAACAAAACAAAACCAGGAAGAGCAGCGCTCATTTTGAAATATTTCCCTAAAGGCTAAGAGGCTGTGCGGTAGTGATTGTGGCTTTATGCAATAATGTCTGTTTTTCTTTATTGTTCTCCTTTATTGGATTAGATCGGTAAACAACTAAACCTAAATTACCCTTGACCACTCAACAACACAGTCAGCAGGA